CCATTCTCCTCTGACCTCTGGCATCAACAAGGCATTTTGGCTCACTGGATATTTTCTCTTTTTGGGACCATCCTCTGTAAACCCTAGAGATGGTTGTGCTGAAAATCCCAGTAAATAGACCAGCCCGTCTGGCACCAACAACCATGCCACGTTCAAAGTCACTTAAACCACCTTTCTTCATCATTCTGATGCTCCGTTTGAACTTCAGCAGCTCGTCTTCACCATGTCTACATGACTAAATGCATTGAGCTGCTGCCACGTGATTGGCTGATTAGCTATTTGTGTCAACAAGCAGTTGAACAGGTGTACCTAATAAAGTGCCCGGTGAGTGTATACTGATTGACATTAACACTTCTGTGATAACCAACTATTGAATGTTGTGTTGCAGTTTTTCATTTACACCACCGGAGGGCAGTATAGACTCATGCTTCCACACACACTCATCTCCACAGCAACAAGGTAAAAACATTACAGTTCATAACATATAAAACAGACATATGTTTCCAGTATTCTGCACACCACCAAATGTTTAAATGTAGGTGGATAAAATAAAGACTCTTATTACTGCAGGGCTGTTTTCTGATCAAATTGATATAAACATTAGTGACTGCATGACTTTTAAAGGGAGAAATAACAGTGTACCCACTGTGCTTTCTTGGTGCGGCTGTAGGAGCGTCTCCAAGGTGATCTCCAGGACCTGCGGGGTGCTAGGGTGAGGTCAGGTAACATGGCAGCCAGGGAAACCTCCAGCGCATGTGGCTGACCGCACAGTGGGTGCTCTGACGAACAGTAGTACTCACACTGGCCATAGAAACACACGTTGCCCGCTGGAGTCAGAGAGACGGAAGCTCAAGTTTAGAGGTCGGGCAGTTGGTAGGCATGCATACATACTGACCTACATGCATACCGGGGGAAGTGAAGAAGGTCCTAGACAGCCTGCGGTCAGTGGTGATCTCTCTGATCTCTGAGGTGACGTTGATGAGTCGACCGACCACTGGAGGGATCCTGTTAAACCCCAGCAATCTGAAAACAAAAAGACACAAAAAATAGCAAGAATAAAGAGCAGTGTAAAAGAGTGAAACACTATTATTCTTTTCAATACACACTTTACTCGTATTCCTACGCTACAAGCTGTACAGTAGCTTCATGAATAAGTAATTCCAGTGTTGGACCAGTGCCCTGGTGGTTACAGAATGGTCTGTCCACCCAGCAGGACACCTCCTGCTTACTGACAGTGTACAAAGCTCTGGACCTGTCAAGGTGAAACGCAGCGATCTCTGCATTGTGCCTCTCAAAGTCTGAGAAGTAGAAGAGGTTTACATCTGTCTCGGCGTCTCTGGATTGCCTGTGCAACAGAAGCACACATAATGCATGAGGATATGCTGATGTTAAGTGGAAGAGGAGAATTTTGCTCTGCTGCGCTGTGTTGTTTCATGAAAAATATGACCTTGAGTTTTCATTTAGCAAACACCATAGCTGTCAGTCATTTATGTATCAGTCAGTCAGCATGAGGACTGTGGTGCCTTACTTCATGGGTTTCAGCAGAGCTTGTCCGTAGTTCGGGAACGACATGAGCAGTTTGAGCTGGGTACCTCCTGTCTTCTGAACTGAAAGATATGGAGTGCACATGAATACTGCAGCCATCACACACTTGAGTATTAGATTAAAAAACTACAATTACCACCTAGCAGTTGTATGTCTCCACCAACAAGTCAAGCTACAGTTAAAATCAATGTCTGCCCAGACTCATATGTTGCCATGACAGTAGACAATGCTTCAAATATGGATGTTGCTCACAGTTTCAAGATGGGCGTCCAAGATTATTGTCACTAATTCAGTATCCGACCAAATGTCTCCCCTTCTGTTCCTCAGTTATGGTGATGAATACTGACTAGAACAGTGTTTTTGCAGGGCATTATGATGTTACAGTGAAGTTGACCACTGACATTTTGGATATAAAATGTCATCACTTCAATGTGTCAAATCTTGTCATAATTAGCCTATGAATTCTTGAGATATGGCCAAAGGCACGTTTTGTGAAGTCACAGTGACCTTTGACCACCAATATCTAATCAGTTCAACCTTGAGTCCAAGTGAACGTTTGTGCCAAATTTTAAGAACTTCTCTTTAAAGTTCTCACGTTCACAAGAATGGGATGGACATAAGGTCACAGTGACCTCAACCTTTGACCACCAAAATCTAATTAGTTTATCCCTGAGTCCAACTAAGCGTTTGTGCCTTAATTTGACGAATTTCCCTCAAAGTGTTCTGGAGATAACATGCTCATGAGAATGGTATGGACAGACATAATGCCTCTAGCCTCGACTGTCACCGGTGTGGAGGCATGAAAAGATACATGTAAGGGTTACATGAGCACTGCACTGTATATGTTCAATGCAGTGCTATACACCTGTTTCACCACATGGTGGCCTATTACACAGTTAAACCCCCAAACACCAACTGCTACTACACCCTCCATTTGGTACATTACTGCAATAAGACCTGGAGAAAATATTTATACAATTGGTTGAATCAGTATTTAATCAGTATTATGCTCCCATAATGCATATTTCTTCTATTTTTGTCTGCTAAGAATTTAGCTTAATACAACCTCTCCAAACTATAAAATGCTGCAGCAAGACTTCTCACAAAACCATCACAAGAGTCTAAATCAGACTTCTTTTAGCATCCCTACACTGGTTACCTGTTTGTTTTGGAGGTGATTTTTAAAATGTACTAATTTAGCCCCCCGTGAGCCTGAATGTAGCCTGAGAACCTCCTGCAGAGGTCGTTCAATAATTGCAAGGTCAAGGCATTTATAATGCACTTTAAGAGTTCCTTTCTCTTGAATCGATTGTTCTTCTTTATACTTTACTTGTGTTTATTGTGTTTTAGTAATTAGTTCCTCACTTGTCATTACTACTGTATCATTTCTACTTTTATTTATTGTACATCTGGTAATTTATTTTGTTTGTATGTCTTTGTTTTAGCTTTGTTTTTGAAAATTGCTATATAAATGAAGTTATTATTATAATGCATTATTTCGGAAGACATAATAGGCAAGGTGTAAAAAACATTTTTACAACAAACAGGGTGTTATCTCCCACATATGAGATATCTCTTAGGAAATAATCAAACATTCTGTATATTATTCATGTAAAAACCTATGAATTGTTATCCTGAAGGTCGTATTTTATCCTGGCAACACACAATCAAGGACTTCAGAGTATCATTAGCTATTTTACAATGAATTTCAACTCAGCTCTGTAAACTGGATGCTTAGGCACTTTTTGAGTGTTTCATCCAAAAAAAAAAGCATGAGTCAAAGTCAGTTTTGTTCAGTTTAATGAGCTTTTTCTGAGATTTGAAGTTTAAAAATGGTCAAACGGTGTGCATGGGGTACATGCAACTCTGACACAAGGTATCCTGAGAGGCTGGGCGACCAGGTGTATTTTTTACACTTTAAAACCGAGAAAAGTGTCTCCTTTGGATAAAGTTGTGTGGTAACGTTAGACCACAACATCAACTCAACGTGAATAAGATTAACAATGATGTCTACATCTGTTCTAAGGTAAGTCAACATCGTGTTTGAGGCAAAATAACGTAGACTCACAGTGTTCCGGACACTTGGCACAGTAAAAGTCCCATAAGATATCAATGCGCAGATAGATACGCTTGATTGGTGTGTCTATCTCTGGGGGCAGGTCTTACACGCATACCAAAGTTTGATTGACACATTTTGGGCCAATCATTTGGGAGAAATGTTGAAAAAACAGTCAGTAGTCACGCTGTCCGGATGACGGTGACTGCTCACAGTAATCCGGACAGCTGGCAATTTCCACTCACGGTATTCCAGACAGGTCTGGAAAGTGGTGTTAATAACACAGTAATGTTAATATAAGTTAAATTTAATGTTATGGCTTGAAAAGTTAATAACGTTAAGTTACAAATATGTGCAAATAACTTTAAAACAGCCATTTTAAGAGTGAGATGATGTGTGTGTCTTGCTCGGTCTTGCTGCAGTGATGCGCCGTTGGCGCTCATATTCATGTCAGACAAAGGGCCTCTGTAAATGTGTGTATCCCTTCAAAAGGTCAAAATATTGGTAAACCTAAGTCCTAAATATTCTATGACACCTTAAAGATGTTTATTTCATTTTGCTGATGGGTTATCATGTTTTAAAATGGGTACTTTGCGGACATAAGGCCCCCCCCCCACGTAGCGTCCTGTCCGAAGACTCTCCCCTCCGGCCATTTCTGAGCGTCATACGTGCGCGTTGGAAACTCGCGTTGATTTCTCCCAAACGACAGCCCCCAGAAAGTGGAGATTGGTCAGAATCGAAAGAGGCGAAACCAAAGATGACACAGACATATATATTACTCATGACCTGGAAGTATTTATTCATTTATTTGCGGGTAAAGGTCAAGTGTCCGGAATACCGTGATGTCCGGAATACAGTGAGTCTACGTTATTGTCACTTTGCTGGAAAGAAATATAAAGTTATCTTTAACATCTCTAGCTAACGTTAGCTAAAGTTAGCCTAAGGTTAGCTCCTAGCTGCGTTGTTCATCATGTCACCTTGTTTGCTGGGAGTTCATTAGCCTATTTTGTTCTAGTTTTGTACTTTGGTGATCGTACATCATTGTTAGCTGTTGTCCAAAGGGCTCTAGTTAAGCTAACGTTAACTTCTGGAGCTTAGCTTCATTAACTTATCTGTAATGGCAGAGATAACAAAGGTTGGCAAAAGTTATGCTGAATGATTCAGTGTAAATACTGTAGCACCAAACTAACGGAGAGACACTCTTGGTAAAGATGGTAAAAAGGCCGTTATCCTTTTCTCATATTCTGAGCCAAAAACCTTAACTTCAGTGGCACTTTAACTTGTTGTCTTTGATGGTGACGGCAACCAGATGCGGTTCACAAGCGTACACTGTGACCTGTAAATTTTGGCTTGTAATTTAAGCTTTTCATCGACCTTCTCAACAATAAAATGATGAATATATCCCTCCAATGCGTAGTTTAGGCCCTTTTGGTTACTTCTCAATGACATCTGATCGTTATGTCCCCAAAAATCATCAGTTGCCTCCTGCAAAATGCCGTGTACTGTGACACCTGCCATAGTGCTGGTCACTGAATGTTGATAGTTTGTCCGAGTGAGTGGAGGGGGGCGTGGCTTAGCCATAGGTCAACTGGACAGTGTAAATCAATTCAGTCCACGCATGTGTGTTTTTTTAAGTGAACAAAAGTGCTATATAAATAAAGTCACTATTATAATGCATTATTACAGGAACCCTGAGATTACGAAAAAAACAACAAAAAAACAAAACAAACTAAAAAAAAATCCTATGAACTGGATGTTATTTCCTACAGTATGTAGGAGATAACATCCCGTACACAGAATATTGTCTCCTAGAACGTAATCTTAGGTTTTGGACAACTTTGCCCAGAATATTTTTTCTTATTTCCTTCAGGGCTTCCATACATTATTCATGCAAAAATGTATGAATGTATGTTATTTTAAAGGTCTCTTTGGTTTTGCCCCAGCCAAACATAATCCGGGACTTCAGTGTATCACTAGCTAGTTTTCAACAAATTTCAACCCATTTTTAGGAACACTGAGATCTGTGAGTTGGACACTTCACCCTCACTTCACATAACTGGACAAGTTTATTATTACCATATTGATTCTGCTTTTATTTAGTCATTTCTTTTGTCTTATGACAATTAAAGTTATTGTAATAATGCATTTTTGCAGAGGCCCAAAAGGCAGGGTGAAAAAAACATTTTTCCATCATATGTAGAATATTATTTCCTATGTAGAACAACTGTAAATTTTTCATGAAAGACTTAAGAATTATTTTCTTGAAGGTCTCTTTGGTGAATGTTTGGTTGTAGTTTTACCGTGAACACACACAAACAATGAACTCAGTGTATTATTAGCTATTAATCAAATTATTTAAACCCATTATCAGCAACACTGAGATCATTAAATTAAACACGGAGGTACCTTTGGAGTCTTTCATCCAATAAAACCATGAGCCACCTCACCCTCACTTCACACAACCAGGGAGTGTGAATGAATTAAATTAAAGCACGCGCTCTTTCAAGTGACAAGTTCAGCGTTAAGGTCCCAGACGTTCAGATGAGACTGAGTTTGCTGCCATGCTTGTAGGAGCACGTCCTGTAAATAATTCAAAAGCTACAAATCCTGAGAAACAGATCAAGTCCTCTCATATTTATTTAAATCACCTGTTTATGACTCCGATTAAAGGAAAATTAATCTGAACTCAAATGTTTAATGGTATAAATACTTTGTTGAGTGTTAAACATGGGAAAGAAAGGGGATAAAAGTCAAAACAAATCAGCCTGTAGCTGAGATTAGTGCTTAATCTGCACCGTATAACACAAATCTCAATGCATTATTCATTGTGCGGCGTGCTAAAGACGGGGACAGGGTGTCTGAGATGAGTAAACACAACATGAGCATGTGTTGGTGCAAGTGAGATTGTGTGCCTGTGTGTGTTCATGTGTGGTACTCGGATCAATGTCTTTGTGTGTGTGGGTGAGAGGGTGTTGAGATAATGTAAGTCTGTGGGAGAATTATTTTAATGACCCTACAACAAAAAAAATCAAGTGCTGATTTAAGATGATCTGGTTTTTATGACACATCAGTCGCCTTTTTCTTAATTAACGATGACTGTGTATTATGTGTTGGGGGGGCCTTGGTGTTTTTAAGTTGTCTAAAAATCATGGTTTAGTCCAGTAAAATATACCGCATCAACCACACAAACTGCAGCCTCGTAAAATCCGTTGCATCTGGACACGGCCTCTATAAAAATTATATATTACAAGGGTCATAAATTTTGTTTTTTCTGTAAGGTTTTTGTAATATATCTTATGAGTGTTGTGTTATCGTGTCCACATCCAGTAAATGTAATACAGATATTCACATTGCACACACACAAAGAATGTATAGTTCAATACATGCGGCTCTATGTTTGCTTCTCCACCTTGTTTAAACTTTCATTTCATTACCGAAAGGATTTGTGGGTCGTCAGACACTGTGCTGAATCCTCCTGGGTCTTTTAGTCTGAGTAAATGTGCCTCAAAAGTGTTTTCATACACAGCCCAAGTTATGTGCACCCTAAGGATCTGTCATCTTTGTGTGGATGGTGTGCATGTGTTTCTAAAAATGTAATCTTCCCTGTTCTAAATATGAACTTTGGCACAGTTTACTGTATTCACTGAGTGAAAACTTTACTCTGTGTTGCCTCTGGCTCGTTCACAGTCTAGCTTGTTTGTATTTAAAGAGATTAGAGTTAAAATGAAAAAGCAGCCTGGTTGAGACTGTGTAATGGTGTCAGGAAGAATCTGAATGATCATACTGAAATCAAACCCCAGCACTGAGAAGACAACTTGGGGTAAAGATTAGGTCAGTTTCTAAATTTAGTTTTGGTGTATTGAGCAATGTTGAGCTCTGAAGTGAAATGCTGGATTTTATCTGTGTGGCCTTGAACCCAATTGGACAACAAAATGCATAAAACTGTGATAAGCATGGGGATGGTGGCACTGAAAATGACCAAAAAGCAAAAGTTTGTTTACTTAAATTGTCCATCCATCCATCCATCCATCCATTTTCATATGCAGGAGCCAACACATTCTCACTCCAACCTCATCACATATTGACGTTGGATCATGGACTTTCCACGTCCTCATGCAACGTGACAGGTACCCTGGGTGCATTGGTTGTTGACGTTCTAGGACGCCGTGTCAAGTTCTGCTTGTTACATGCATTGTCTTCTTCCTCGAGGAAATAAAACCTCAACAGCCAATCAGAGTGATCTCTCTCAGCGACTAGCTCCGCTAGTCAACATTCAACATGCTTAATTGGCCGATAAGCCGCCGACACCAAAGTGCAGACGGTGTGGGACACACCGCAAAAACTAGGCTGACACACGCTCACCGACGGCCCAACCTTGGTTGATGGCCGACCGTCAGCTTGGTGTGCCAGGGCCTTTACAGGACATGAACACTGCTCTCTCAGGTGAAAGTCGGTATTTGTTGAACCCTTCCACCACCCCTCCTGCCCTTAAATTTTGTCTTTGTCCCGCCACGTTTCCCCCTGAAGCCGGGGCCATTATACTATAACCGCAACTGGCTGCGTATCATGCCATCAATAAAGGATACATTTTTGTGCCAGTTTCTGATGCTGCAAGTCACTGCCCAAGCACCAGATTTCGGTGACTTCGGAATGACACCGGGCTCCAGGGACAGCCGGCCAAGCAAAGCACCCCAGACGTCCCTCTCCCCATCAACACTTTCCAGCTCCTCCTGGGGGACCCCAAGGTGTTCCCAAGCCAGATAAGATAAGTAATCCCTCCAGCGTGTTCTGGGTCTGCCCCGGGGCCCCCACCAGTGGGATGTGCCTGGAACACCTCTGACAGGAGGCGCCCAGGAGGATCCTGATCCGATGCCCGAACAACCTCAACTGACCCCTTTCGAAAGCTCCCTCTGGATGTCCGAGCTCCTCCCCCTGTTGCTAAGGCTGAGCCCTGCCACCCCACGGAGGAATTGGATCTTAGCTGCTTGTATCCACAGTCTCATTTGTTCGGTCACTACTCAGAGCTCATGACCATAGGTGAGGGTTGGGACATAGATGGACCAGTAAATCGAAAGCTTCACCTTCTGGCTCAGCTCCCTCTTCACCACGATGGTCCAGCGCAGCGCTCGCATCACTGCAGACGCTGCACCAAATTTTTGCATAGATTAAAATTTAGTGAACAAAACTCCACTCATAACTAAAAACTGGATTGCCAGGCTGCCTTGTTTCAGAAAAACTTTTCATCACTGCATCCTAAAGATAGTGCTGAATGCAGGTCGAGGACTTTTATATATCAATGACTGAATTAAGTGCTTTTACCTGAATGGGTTGTGCAAGTTTTGGCAGAACATGGCTCATATTTAAAGAGTCATGTCTTTGCCAGCTAGAAGCAATTGTGAGGAAGTAATTTTAGGAACAGAAAGATTAAAGGGAAAGTAGTTAAATCACTGGTAATCCTTCACCTCCTACACTGTTCACCCTCCTCTAATGCCTCTCCTTCATCTCTGTGGCTTTCCCTGGCACTGTATGTTCTTCTCTCTGTCCTCCAACTGATTAGCCCCGCCCAACTTATTTGCTCACCAGCACCGAGGATACGTTGCGTTGCCAAATAGTGAGTAAGCTGAGCCAGGTTGGGATCCTTCCTGTTGTACAGCTCCCAGCGAGTGATGCCCAGGTGGAACCGTAGCCAGGGAGGGTGGGTCTCCACATCGCTCGTCCAAGTGACCTTGTCATAGACCTCCTCCTCACTGGCACTCTGCCTTTAGGGGAGGAAGAGGAGGTGATAAATAGGCTGAACTGGCTAATGAATGAGACAGTGAAACTGAAGTTTGTTTCAGGTCGACTCTCAGATATAAAACGAGCTGTAGGGGGAAAATGTTTAATGACGTAAAGTTCCATATAAAGAAACCAAAGCAAGACATTCTGTTCCAGGACCCTCCATTAATTTTGCAAAACAAAAAGCAGCCTAAAGGCTACGAGATGACAAATATAAATATAACCAAGAGTTATTTTTCAAGAACATTTTTCATGAAACTGTGGGACACCAGTAATTGTACCACACAGTCCATTCTGAAGTCAAACTTGTTTCCACTGATGTGACTGGTGTCTGTAGATCTGTAGATATACAGATGATGCCTCTAGTGTCCAACGCAAGGAAGTGCATTCCTTTACAGATAGATAGAAACCTAAAAGAAATTACCTGTAGCCATGGGGAAGAGACTAATTTTGTCCGTTTACCATCCAGTAGTTTGGATTGTGCGCTTGGGACATTACAGGGTCAAAAACAGGATCTGCCAGGTACGTGGCATGTTTTGTGAAATATTTAATTTAAAAGACATATGAACAGCTGAACGAGTCACAATGACAATCTGACTGTATGTAATGGAAAACCATATTTTAGCAGAATAACGTTATTCTCATTCACAATGGGTGCGGTTACATGATGGCTTCTCATTCAGAATGAAATAAATCTGAATGAAATCATTCGGAATTAAAGTATTTCCAGGTAGTTTACATGAGAAATATTCATTCCAAATGAGGGTTTACACGGGAGATCAGTTTAATCGCCTTTATTCGGGTCTGTGCAAGGTTTGGGGCAGGGAAGGTTTCTGATTGGATAGGGGGCGGGGCGGATGTTACGTGTTTACGTTTACTGGAAGAAAACACTGTAGTCCTCGCTCCGGATAACAAGATGCTTGACGACGCCGTTCTTAGTGCCTTTTTCAGGCTTGTTTTGCTTATATTCTTGAAGCAGCAGTACGACAACAACCTTGTTCTGCTAATGCTTTGTCTGTTGAGAGGAGAAGAGAGGTAGAAGGTCGAAGAAGGGAGACAGAAGACCGTGATGTGGCGAATGGAAACCGGTGAGTGCTATACACGCTGTATACGTCATTGCGCCAGAAGGGCAAGGAAACGAGCATGTGCAGAAAGACCGGAATTAACTTAATGAGGAATGAGTGTATACAAGTGCGAGAAATTCTTTCATTCGGAATTAGAAACGGAATATTCCAGCCCCTTACATCGGATTGAATTTTCCATCGCATTGGCCATTTTCATTCTGAATTAGGTGTTTACAAGATCACTTTTAATAGGAATGAACTTTCATTCCGAATGAAAAGGGAATTAAAGTGTCCATGTAAATGCACTCAATGTGTTAAAACTAGATAAAAAAGATCTTTTTAATCAGACAAACTCACTTGACAATCAACACAGGCAACTGAGATTAAGGAAATAGCCTGTTAGCCAATTAACAACCTGTTAGCTGAATTAGCACAATGTCATATGGTCTCTCTGAAAACCTCCACAAAACTCGGGGCAAATTCTTGACCGAAATATTATGGAAGGGAGGAGTTTCGCAGTCACATCGGCTATCACGGAGATTCTTATAGGAATGAATGGACTTCCGGTTGCCTCGCCTCTGTACACATAAGCAAGTGGAAACAAGGGGATACTTGAATAAGTAAACACTGACCAACGGGACCAGACTGGCCGACCCGTTAGCCTTGGACCAAGATGTTCATTGCATGAACGTCTTGAAAACGAACCCCGTTTTTCGTGTGGGCGTTCCCGGTCTAGACCGATTCACGTCTCCATAAACTTTCAAATCAAACATGTAATGTACTCACCTCATAGGCACAACCAATGTGCAATACACCTCCCAACCGCTATAGTGGCGCTGTGGCGCAGTAGAAAGCCGGTGCACTCATTCATTGCAGGACGAAGAAGGGGTGAAGAAAATTTCAAGACATCCCGAGATAAAATGCATGTTTATTAAACAATAACGGATATACAAACACACGGCAACCCCCGTACACCTTCCTAACATCTGTGCCTATGAGGTGAGTACATTACATGTTTGATTTGAAAGTTTATGGAGACGTGAATCGGTCTAGACCAGGAACCCCCACACGAAAAACGGGGTTCGTTTTCAAGACGTTCATGCAATGAACGTCTTGGTCCAAGGCTAGCCGACCCGTATGCTCTCACTTTGTGGATGGATGATGTCACAGGAAGCCAATCTTACAAAGGAGGACGACACTTGGACAGTTTCCTCAAGTTTGTTTTGCTATCGAAGCTAACGTTAGCTAAAGTTAGCGTTACAGAGACATTCAATATTTCTCTTAATCCCTCCCCAGTTTCTGATGAGGTGGATGTGATAACCTTTAATACACATAATGCCATTCATCCCTACAACAGGAAATACTGTTTCACTAACACACGTTTTGTATGTTTTTGTTGATGGGATAAAATTTAAGTTTTGAGCCATGATTGCGTCTATTCTGGCTCCCAAGCAGACATACTTAAGACTCCTATGTAGCCTACAGCCCTGTGGGGAGAGGCAGGTTTTGCCTGGTGTAAACCAAAATATTGGACAGATTATGTTTGGACTTGCTGGTGTATTGAAATTTCAGGGGGGACACCAAAGTTGAATCTTTGTGCCAAATTTCATGGTAGTCCAAAAGGTTATGTTGACTGAAAACCAAGACCTCATGGTGGAACTAGAGGATAGTCAGAGGGCACTGTGAATGTCTGGGGGCAACAGTTTCACTTACCACTGGCTGTCACTATTTATGGTGTCTTCCTTCTCCTCTTCCTCACCTCCTGTATCCTTTGCATGTTCAGTTTTCTTTACCCTCAGCAGCCAGTCATCGTCTTGCAGCTCTGGACGTGGCAGATTGTACAGCGGGTGCTTGAACAGCGCCTCCAGCTTAGAATAACCCTTAACCTTGACTTTTCCAGCTCCAATCAGTTTCTTTTTCCTCTCAGTAGCTTCACTGAATGAGTCTCTCTCTTTATTGGTGATGGCATTCAGTTTGTGATGCTCTCCATTCTGGGGGATCGTTGGCAGTTTATGTGAGGAGGAGACATCTGAAGAAGAGGAGGAGTGGGAGATGGACTGACGGTGCTGAGTATTTGTTCTTGGAATGGAGGAAGAAGAGGAGGTGGGAAGGACACAGGGTGTCTGGAGGACAGAGAGACAGAAAAATGCCAGAAGGAGGTTGAGAGCGAGGGACAGACATGCCAGGCCCAGACAGATGGAACGAGTTGATCGACCCAGGTTCTGCCTTATCATGCTGGAGGAAAGAAAGGCAACAACAGAGAGACATTTAAAATCCAAACAGACCATGGAGTCCTGCCAAAACTTCTGATCATTATGTTCCACAAATATTCACATGAAGGAGTGGACAAAATTGGAAAAAAACAACAGATGAATAAGAAGTTTTACTTAGAACTAACTGAGTTGCTCACAGAGGCAGCAGTATCAAGATGAATGCCAAATGCATTCCATGATACAACTAACAATGGACTGGCCACATTAAATAAGAGTCTAAGAGGACTACATGTGGCAGCTTGTGAGGCTGAACTTAGGCACAATGCTTGTATCAGCATGCTAATGAGAATGCTAACATGTTTAGCAGATATAGTGTTTACTGTAGTTGTCGGTGAAGATTCTCAGTCATCCAGGTCATGGTAATTGTAAGTGCTATATCGTAGGCAACTGGACTTGCTTGCATTTCTTGAAAACGTTTTGCCTCTCATCCAAGAAGCTTCTTCAGTTCTGAATGACTGGTACGAAGTTGCAGGCTATAAACCCTGTTTGCGTGGGAACCCTTGCAAACTCGAAGGGGTCATGTGAGCTCTTAGTTTCAGAGTCGTTAAGGTCACAGTGTGAGTCGTTGACCCACCTGGCCACCATGTGAGTCGTTAGGTGGGACCAGGGGTGTATCGGTGCGAAGTCGTCTGGGGAGGGATCCCAAGACTGCATTGTAGGTGGGGGATAAGTAGTGTCGTAATATTTAGCATGTACTCAGCACTAACACAAAAGACAGCTGAGGCTGATGGGTATGTCCTTAGTCTTCAGGTGTTTGGATGCAAACCAAGTATTTGAAAGGAGTTCCGCCCCCATGTGGGGGCCAGGTGAGGCCATCGCCGCCCTGAAACGATTGGAGGCTAACATTGCTGCCATTAAGAGGCTGTGGCACAATTGTTTTTTAGTTTGGGGGGAAGGTACTAGTATCATGTGAAACTAGACAACCTAAGGTATCCATTGGTTTAATCAAGTTGGCATAACTTGTCAGCAAGGGGGGTAAATATTTTTTTTTTTTAATTTTATATACTTTATTAATCCCCGAAGGGAAATTCAATTTTTCACTCTGTTGTCAATTACACACAGGTCCGAACACACACATGCACAAACTGGACCTATACATGCACTAAGTGGAGAGATGTCAGAGTGGGCTGCCCATGACAGGCGCTCTGAGCAGTTGGGGGGTTCGGTGCCTTGCTCAGGGGCACCTCGGCAGTGCCCAGGAGGTGAACTGGCACCTCTCCAGCTACCAGTCCACGCTCCATATTTTTGGTCCGGACGGGGACTTGAACAGGCGACCCTCCGGTTCCCAACCCAAGTCCCTATGGACTGAGCTACTGCCGCCCCCAAATTAATGCTCTGAATTCACGCGATATTTTGGCGAGGGAAAAACTGGCATAGCCATTTTCAAAGGGAACACACATTCATAGCCTGCATGACACGGTCTTAACAAAACTGCACATTATGAACCAACTGTCAAAAGTTGAAAGCAGAAGAAATGCATCAGTATGGGCCATGGTACTGTAGATTGCTTATGGAATGGAAAAATCTGATTCTCAGTGTGATCCAAATGTTGCATCAAACCATCACCAGCTGTTGTGAGCATTTAAACATTTTTAGTATGGGAGTCACGTTAGTAGGGTCATTTATTTACTAAATGTCGGTATGGTTGTCTGACAGTTAAACACGCTAGCCCTGGATACAAAACCCAGTGGAGGGGGGGTTATGGCTTCCATATTGCCGCAATAACATCCCATTTTTAAAGAAATTCAACAGCAGTTAAACACCTGTTTTGGCCTCCTCAGTTTAAACATAATCGAGACTTTATGGACATTTAGGAACACAAGTGTTAAGTACATTTCTGCATCCTCTATTCTTTAGCAAACTGGAGGCTTTTTCTACAAAAATTATACAATATACAACTACAATGAATTCCCAACTGCAGCTGTTCTGAGGGCAAACAGTCGCCCTTCACTTTATCATCTTTACTTTATTATTATTCTCTGCCAAACTCTTCCTGCTCTGTACCTAAGGCAAACACACACACACACACAAATAAGCAAACATTTAAACACTGCACTGATTAATTTCATTGTCAGACAGACAGGTGGATGGACAGAGAGACGGGCACTCCTATATACATTCACACTCCACCGGTTTAACAGAAATCTGTCAGATAACCCTTTACATCAAATCCTCAAATAAAGAAAAGCTCACTAAGAAAATCAATACATTATTGAACAACTCGCTGCTCCCACATTCCCTGTGTGGACCAGCAGGCTGGAGGAATTACTTACATCTCTTCCCCTTCAAGACCTTTTTTCTTCTCCCTCTCTCTATTCCGCTTCTCTTCCTGTGTTAATGAGGCAGATATTCAGAGTTTGGTGACATTTCTACCCTTTTTTTTTTGTCCTGTTCTTTCCCCGGGAGGATGGTTTGTTTGTTATCATGCGGTCACTGCAGTCCAAACAGAAGGACGAGGACTGACATGTTATGGTGACCTGTGTCTGCGTGACCCACAGTAAAGAGAAAGGGAATCACAGTAAATTGCCAAGTGAGCTTTTAGTCTGCCAGGATCAATGCAGGATGGGTGATAATACACAGCAGTCTTGTACAGAGGGCTGACTCAATATCTATGACTCGTAATAATAATCCTCAAACAGGTTGGGTCAATGGAGCAGCACTGAAAAATAACTAACTAATAGATGGACATTTTGGGAAATATTCTATTTTGTTTTACTGAGAATTAGATGAGATTTGATACCACTCTGAAAACTATAGGGTAAATATTAAGTTTGGGCACATCCCACTGGTAGGAGGCCCCGGGGAAGACCTAGAACACACTGGAGGAATATATCATCTGGCCCGGGAACACCTTGGGGTCCCCCAGGAGCAGCTGGGAATAGGGACATCTGGGGTGCTTTGCTTGACCTGCTGCTCCCGCGACCCGACCCTGGATAAGCAGATGAAAATGGATGGATGGATGGATGGATAGATATACCAGATACAGACTAGCATGCAAATTAGTGCGCTTAAAGGACCCGACACTCCAAGCAGATGGTCAGCTGTTGGTCAATGTTGGGCCATTGGCGAGTGTTTGTGGCCCTCATCGCTGCGGTTGGTTCCGCACCCATTGGCTTGTTTTTTTGGCCAGTTCAGCATGTTGAATCAGCGCTGGCATGGGCAGAGCATGTTGGTAAATGAAATCACTCTGATTGGCAGTTCAGCTCAGAGCACAAGAAGAGAAAAGGAAGTGAGGAAAGTAAACAATCAGCTAAAGCCAAGAAGGTGTCAGCCCAAAATTAACTTGTCACATAAGGTCAGATTATTTTTCTCTAACCATTGAGCTCTTTAACAGAAATGTTTCCAGATGGTTTGTGGTACTGTTCACTGGTGCACGGTAAATATACTCTGTTCTTTCAACACTGGACTGTGTTATTAATGTGCTAACTGGCTAATTAGCATCAAAACGGTCTTTCGGTTTCTCTTTTTGAATGCCAATTATAGATGACTTCCATCTGCTAGTGTGGAGAGTTATTTCCTCTCACACAGGCATAGAACATACAGGCTAGATGGCCGTCGGCTGTAGTCTATGCAATGTCTTCATGTGCAACTTTTTTGGCTGAGACAAGGCAATGTCAGGTGATGCAGCAGGGGGCCATCATAGTTCTCTAAAGTTGGTTTGGTGTGTCTGGGCTTTTAGGGGTGTTGGTAGTCACATTTTGAATCTTCTAAGACTAAGTCTCCTAAGACTACCATCAATACTAATATCAGCATCTAAACATGGTATGACAGATCCTACGTCTTGTTCTGGAGAGCAATTCTAGCATCAGTAGGATAGATATCAGAAAAGGATCAGTTTCTCTCCTCTACGTTGTACTCATTTTTATTTCATCAAACAGGTTAAACTGTATCTGTGTAAACAACATCTTGTTGTGGTAAACACATCTTACTGTGCAAACTCTTTGTCTCTCTGCTGTTGTTGTGGTGAGTATACTCTGACAACATACACGTCAAGCACGCACTGCGGCGCCCACCCAGATGAGTTTAAGTTGACACAAAATTGCAGTGATGACTGAACAAAAAAGGAGCATCGACTGGAGCCTTTTCACAGCTATGAATTGAAACATTGTCAACAGTGATGTGTGTAGGCTGATCAGCACTGTGGCAACACCACAAATTTGTTTTGAAGACATTACAAAAAACATGAAAAAGAAAACTTGGATCTGAAACAGAAAAGAAGGAAGGAGGAGGAAGTGCCTCAGCATCCAGATCAGGCCCCCCGAAGGTACACCAGGCTTTGAAGCCAATTCGACACAATGGCCAAACAGTTGAATAAGTAATTAAGTAAGAACATTTATTTATATAGTGCTTTTCACAGACATAGGTCACAAAGTGTTTTACAAGGATATTGTATAACAAGAAAGGAAACACAGAAGACAAAGTGACTGTGAGCCAAGTAGTTAAAAGTGCACAACTAGAAAAACTATTTGCACAGTAAGAAAATAACAACTTCTGAGTCCGTCACCTGGTGCCATGGGGCCCAAAGACTTTTTCCCATAGACTTACATTGTGAAAGACGTCTGTAAAGTGGATACATTTTATGAGCATCACAAAATGACTTGTTCATTATCAGGTTTTTATCCATGATAATGAAACAATATTTGGAAAATCTAGAACACCCGAAAAACTAAATAACTGTATCCCTATTCAAGTTAGCACAGCGCTAAACTGGAAGTAGTTGGCTCAGCTGGTGGAAGTCTCTAATGCACTTGCTCCATGCCGATCATTCAGGAAAATTTATATAGTGCGGTTAAATGTTTTTGCGCCACTGAGCAACTTCCATGGGCAAGAATGGGATCCGGCCTCCAATGCTGTATCCAGTTCTCTTTACACATCCATGATCCAGGCCCCCGACACACAGACAGTTCACTGGCAGAGAGGCTCAGAAAAGGAAGGAAACCAAACCAGGAAGTGAACCAAACAGCTCAGCTATGAAAGCACCCTTAGTCAAATAGGACCTTAAAGTTACAATGTGTTATTTACGTGGTTGTTTATTAGCAAATATCAACTATTCCTTTCATAAATATATATTTACTAAAGTGTAATGCAATTCACATACAAAAAGGGATATACGCGCTTCGCCTTTCGCGTTTACCTAGAACTTGCCGTCACTGGAGACGGTTAAGGTGAAGATCAATCCGAGGCGCTTCTGCATGAACCTGCTTTGTACTTTAATGATTCTGTCACACTTTAAATGGAGGAACACACATATGTTTTGCCACGTAAGAGGGAAACCACGCCACCAAATAAAAGAAAAAGATCAGATAAGAGAGGACGGGACAAAACGCAAGTGAATATCGGAATTGCATATTCCAGGTGGAAAGAACTCCTGAAGGAGAAGGATTTCACAAGGGATGCGGAGGTTGCCTGCTTTCTGCTAGACAGGTAATTCAATCTGATATTTTAAAATCATTTTGGCTTCATGTTTGCAACTACTTTTCCCTCTCGTCTAAGTCTGAGTGACGGCTACGTTTACGTGCTAATGATATCCTAGCCTTGGTTAACGTTATCCCAGAGCTAAAGCTAAATGGTTAGCCTAGCCTACAGCCTAATCTGTTGAATCCTCTCACGCTGCTGCGAAGGCTGCCACCCTCTCCTGCTCCTCTTCCCTCTGGGTAGCCGAGACACTAACGTAACCTCTTCGCCTGGCCGTTCCTGCACCGCCTCTAACGTTACCCCCTATCCCCCTCCCTCTCCCTGGTCTTCCTCCTCTCCCTCTCCCTCTTCCTCATCTCTCTGTGGAAGAACACTCTGGAATCGCATATATTATAATCGTAACAACCTATATTTGCCGCACTGTGCTGTGACTATCACATAAAGCGTGTTATTTTAGCATTACTGTGCTAATGCTCGTGTTACCAAAACAATTAGAAATAAAACACTCCTAACATATATCTCACAGATAACCTATATCTCACTGGTAAGCTATAACATATCATAACATGGTTTAGATTCCTAAATAAATATTCACCTCGTCGCTAGATACTCCTGAAAAACTCTGCTGCTGTCTGCGCAAGGCTTTTTGTCCTACGAGGCCACCGTCACTTACCCGATGGGAGGGGTGAGTGAGTGAGTGCTGCAATCTAGAATTTGACCGCTGATGTCACTGTTACTCACCATTTTTACACACTGATGCTTTAAGCATTCGTTAGTGTTACATTTTCAATCTGCAACTGGTCAACATTAGCTGTTAGCAGACTATATTCAGATATTCTAGTAATTTTTTGAGCTCAGCTGCTTTAAATAATAAAAATTATTTGCAATATTGCCCACCTCTACTTTGGACAGAGCTGGGCTGGCTGTTTTCCCCTGTTTTTAGTCAGTAAGCTAAGCTAAGCTAAGCGGTCGCTCGTAGTAGCCTAGCTTTATGGTAATACAGACATGAGAATGGTGTCAATCTTTGTAAGTCTCAATAAGAAAATAAATAAGCACATCACCCAAAATGTAGAGCTGTTTACTCCGTGTTGTCCACATTTTCAGCTATTCTCTCCATCTTTCTCCTTTTGTAACATGTTGTGGGGCCTCCCTCGTGTCTAGAGTTTTTCTCTTATGTCAATGATATCTGCTTCTAGTTTTGACTTTTGAAAGGACACTGTGTGCTTTCTGTTCATTTTGTGAATTCATGGCGACTCTTTCATGAAGCACAATGGCTTTAATACTCAGTGAAAATGTAGGTGATGTCAAAAACTGTGACCTGGATCTTCCTGTATAAACTGTTTGATACTGGCAGCACATTAAAGTGCACACAGAAAAACATGCAGAGTGATGAATTCATATTCTAAAGCAGCCCAGATTAAATCAAATATTCATCTCTTTTACACTGTCTCTCTTTTTGTCTCTCTTTGAACCTGTCCCCTCTTCCTGTCTCCCTCGCCCCTTTTATCATAAACCATCCATTATATCTGTGTATCTACCATCACATCTCCTGCTGACTCTAAATCCTCTCTGACTTTTAGCGTTTTCTGCCCTCTGAGGGTTGCAAAATCATTCTGTGGCGTACTGCTAATTAGCCGACTATATGTTGCTGCTAATTAGCTAACGTCGCTCTGAGACAGAATGCATTATGTATGTTAGAGCAAATCCCAGCAGATTAGGCTGATGTTTCTGAAACCTGGGGCAATATGCAGCCTCTGAGTGTGTGTGCCATTCCATGTAAACAACTGTTAAATGTCACAAATGAGATTACAATATCAGCACGCACACACACACACACACAGGCAAAGAGAGGGAGAGGAAATAGATCGCTGATTACATAAATATTACATGTTTGAGTACATTAGGAAAAATCTGAATGCATAACACATTTTTT